TGCACAAGACACTTCTTCTGACTAGGCATTTTCACTGACTTTCCCCCATGCCGCAAAACCCCTCTCTTTTCATTTCCACCTTTAGGCTTCCATGGTTTCCTTCAAATCCCAGCTAAACTCCCTCTTTCTATGAGAAGCCTTTACTGATATCTCTCAATGTTACTGCCTTCCTTCCACTGATTATACCCAGTTTATTCTTTAACTATCTTATTTGTACATAATTGTTTTCACGTTGTCTTCTCCATTAGATTGTGACAGTAGCACTATCTTTTGCCTTTCTTTGTATTCCCAACACAGCACAATGCTTGGCACATAGTAAGTACTTAATAAATCCTTATTAACCTAGTGATTTACTGAAAAGAAACCCTACCTTCAAATTCACATTGATGACAACAAAACAAAACAATATATTGAGAAGGATCATGGGATACTGAGTTTACTCAAGATGAGATCACTGGTTTTTAAAATGTTTTATTGGCGTCCTTTTTTATATCACTACCATTTCTTTTACCGTTCTCTCCAATAAAAGAGCAAACAAAGAGTAATGAATAGAAATTGAAGGAAAGCAGATTGTGACTCCATACAAGGAGGTCTTTAGAAGTAGAACGGTTTTCCTTGAAAGGTAGATAGTTTCCCATCATTAGGCATCTTCATATGGAGGCTGTTTGATCACTTTTAGAGGATGCTGCACATGGAATTCATCCTCTGTGTAGAGACTGTATTAGATAATCTCTCAGGTCCCTTCCAAATGGAAGATTCTCAGAGTCTTTGAGCTTCCATAATGCCAAGATTGTTCTCTGGATTCTGGCAAAAGACAATGAGGAGATTCTTTCCCTGATGCCTCATCTTCTATTAGTGACATTTGTTTGTTTTGAAGTGGTATAGGGAAGTGTTTTTTTCCTTGTGGCTCTCCTTCTGTTGCATAATAGCCAGACTTTCTGCCTCTCCAACAGCTTGATTCAAAAACTGGAGAGACAGAGTTCCTCATTTTTTCAGTTGTGCCAAATCCATATGCAAATAATAATGCAAACTAAATAATGCAAATTTCCACTTCTTACATCTCATATGTATCTCCAGATAAAACATTTTACAGGTCATGCTTTTGGCCTTTTACTGATAGGCCTCTTGGTGTAAGAGGAACAGGCCTGGTTTTAGAAACAAAATCTAGGTTCAAGTCCCAAAACTGTCACTTAAAAGTTGTATGATCCTGGGCAAATCTGTGACTGCTCTGTGCCTCATTTTCCTCAGCTGTGATATGAAGATCATAATATGCTTCTTAACTCATGTTTATAAACATTAAGGTGTTTTATAGGGCTTAGGTTCTTAGGGCTAAACACAAGGCGCAAAATCTTAAAAGCTCTCTTCCAATAAGGTGTCTCCTATAATATATCAAGATTCTATAATATTCCTTGATAGACACAGACACCACAAACACACAGTAGAGTTTGTTAATGATCTTATATCAATGTTCAGTATAATATAATATAGGGAAATATATGATTTACCACTGTTATGGAGAATGGACAAAGTATCATCCAAGTGGAAAAGGGATTCCCTATAGATAGTAAAATCCTCCAGCTGCTCCTGTTTGTGGATGACAGTGGGCAGATTCTACTAAGGCCCAAAACATTATAGGATATGCTCAGTTAGGTGGATGCTTACCCAAAAGAAACTGACTAAGCAATCCATGTAGGAAAAATCAAGTGGATAGAAAATATGTGTTGCCCAGATTATGACATGCAGTTTGTTGGATGACACTTTGAACTAGATCATCACTGCAGATGGACAATGAGATGAGGAAATAATTGATTAAGTGGAAGTGTGTGGGCTAGGTTTTATTTGAGAAAGTGCACATTACTCTCATTGTTTTCTGATACAATAACCCATCTTTTAGATGAATATTATACTAGTCATGCTGGGATAAGACTGTTATATGGACTGGAGGGAGCTGCCACCCTGAGAATTTTTTGTAATGATGAAATCATGGTTTCTTTATGTATTTGGGAATGTACTAGGCCTCTAAAGCCATCTTAGGTGATTCCTAGCATCTGGAAGAAAATTCCAGTTTATCAAAGTAGCTAAACTTTAACTCACTCAGACTGAGTTCAAAATGACTTGTTCCCCTTCTTAATTCATGCAAAGTATATTACCTAATAAAGCTGGCTAAAGAATTCAAACGGAAAAGGGGCTTACTGACAATCATATATAATTTATATGAATTTGCAGTACTTCTTTTTGTATTAATAAATGCTCTTAAATCCATAAGGTTGGTGAATAACTTTTGAATGTTTTAGCATATTTTGCAGTTACTTGCCAATTATTTGTCAATATTACTTGTCAATATTGCCTCTTGTTGGCCAAGGTATAGGCACTTATCTTGTTCATTTGCATAAGGCACCAAATGTCTTGCCAAAGCAGGAGTGGGCATAGAGGCAACAAATGTTTTGTTTGCCTGAGGTTGTGTGTGAGAAAATGGGTGCTAGGCAGAATTGTCAATAAAAGCTTACTGAATTGGGAAGCATATAGATCATTTCTTGAAAGAACAGGAGACCTGGGTTAAAGTTCTAGCTTTGCTATTCACTTTCTGTGGGAGGTTGCATAAATTATTTACTCTCAGGACCCAATTTTCTCATGTGTAAAATGAGGGAATTGGGGCAAATGAATTTGCTGAAACCTAAAGCTCCAGCATAAAAAGAGATGAACGATTATTTTGTCCAATTAATTTTCAGTTTATAGAAATAACGCCTTCTCCCAACTCTCATCCCCATCAAACCATTGGTGGAAGGAAGCTTGTTGAGTTAGAAGTTGGTCAGATTTGGGCTTTTGAAGGTAAAAGTCATGATTATTAAAGACTAGAGCATTTGGGTCCAAAGTGAATGAGGCAAGCAACAGTTCCCCACATCCATCCAGGCTGTCATCCTTCCCCAAAATGGCTTTGTATGGGTGGATCATCTTAAGAGTTTATCAAGGAAAGTGCTTAGTGGTTTTCTGTGCAATAGCTATAGTGGCAAGCCAAAAATGTAAGGTTGAAAAAGTAGATCAGGTGTTTTCAGTTTTCACAGGATTTAAATTTAGTCGTGATGTTTGGTTGGCACCTATCGTGCTACTGGATATGTAAAATTCCTCTATCTGGATTCATATTTAATTGAATGTACCTATGAGAAGCAGAATAGTTCTTTGGAAGTAAATTAATTCCTGAGTAGATAATGATAATGAAAATAATAGGAGCTATCATGTACATGGCAGGCTTACAAAGTACTTTACGTATGTTATCTCCTTTCTTCCTCGCAAAAATTCAGAGCTGGACTGGCATCCTTGAGATGTTAAGTGACCTAGAAGAAAGTGGTAGATCTTTTATGGATGATTTTTGAGAGGACATAAGATTACCATATGGTAAGAAGGTACAAGTCAGTTGAGATGCCCATGTCAGTGGTATCATGGGTCAATTGAAATATTGCAAATAGTTTTAGAATGTGAAATTTTGTGTCATGTATTAGATATGTTAATAAACAGAGACGTCTGTCTCCTATAAGCAAAATGCTCCTGAGTTTAGAAACCAATAAAAAATAAGGGAGACAAATGTTTAGATTGGAGGACAAGAAGATAGCAGCTAAGGAAAGACAAATGTTTGGTGATTTGACCTCTGAAGGAAATAAATGTTGTAGGCAGGACAGACAGCGAACTCGATGTGGATTAAGTGAAAGGGAGAACGTAGAGACAGTGTGCCATAGTGTATGTGGATAGGATGCTGGGCTTGGAGAAAGGAAGACATGGGTTCAAATCCTGCTCATGAGCCTTATTAGCTGTGTGACCCTAGGAAAGTTACTTAATCTATATGTAATTCATACCTATGGCTTATCTAAGTAATAGACGAATTTCTCATTGTTGGTTATTTTCTCTGATAATCACAGCCCCATTTTACTCAGCCATTTGTGCTGTAAGACTCAGTCTAAAAGAAGATTGTGAACTTTTGTCAGCTCTACTCCAAGCTGATCAATAGCACTCTAGGCATGGGAGAATTCATGATATAAGGATTGATAAGAACCATAGATCCATTATATATGATTTGAATAATTCTATGCAGTTACTCATCAATTAGGAAATGTTAGAATAAGTTTACATATATATTATATATATATATATACATATATATTTTTTATAAATATATACATATATGTGTCAGGGAACACTATTGTGCTGTAAGAAATGATGAAGGGGATCATTTCAGAGAAACCTGGGAGGACTCATCTAAACTTATATATAAACTCCTATTAGCTGATGCAGAGCCAAGTGAGAAGAACCAGGAAAACAATGTATATACGAACAATAATGTTGTAAAGACAAAGAACTTTGGTAGAATTAAGAATCACTACAGTGACCAGTTACAATTCTACAAAACTCATGAAGAAACATGCTACCTACTTCCTGACAGAGAAGTGATGGACTCAGAGTACAGATTGAAACATATTAACCTAGACATGGCCAGTTGGAGAATTTGTTTTCCTTGATTACATAAGTGAATATGGGTTTTGTTTTTCTTGCTATCTCATGGGGACAGGATGACATAGGAGAGAGAGAAGGTGAATCTTCATAAAAATAAAATAAAATCTGGGCAAGTTGCTTAATTTCTTTTTTTGAGGGTCATAAGTCAGCATTTATTATTTAAGCTGAAGAACAGGTTATGAAGGGGGTGGGGGACACATTCATGACAGAGAGTCCAAGGTGGAGCCCTAGGGGAGAGGGAAGAAGGGAGGAGACAGGGAGAGGAGAGCTTCTCCTCTGTGTCTGCTCTAAACAGGGTTGAATCTGATTTCTGAGCCTTGGTCCAGGGCACACAATGAAGCACAGGATAAAATGAGGTTCTAGGGCTACAAGTTTAGGAAATAAGGCTCTAGAAATCCACAGTATTATGAGAAAGAAAAACATTCTTGAGATCAATTAACTTTATTTTAAGGTATAGGTATTGCGGGGAGAAAGCAAACAAAACTTGATTTGAATAACACAGACTGGCAGAGAAGTTTGTAGGGTGTTTATTTCACAGACCACATAGGTCTCAGAATCTCATCCCCAAGGCATCTCTCCACAGAGTGACCAGCCAGAGAATGGGAGAACAGGATTCCAATTCAGCTAATTACAACGAACTCTCTGATTTTATAACTTCGTCTGTCATTTAGTACCTTAACACTGATGTATGGATCACAGACGTTAGCATCCTCAGTAGCATCAGCCACACAGGCTACATTTATACTACCTGGGAGAAGTGAGGGAGAGATGGTGTTTGAAAACTTTTAGGAACATCTTTCAGTCAAAACCCAACTTACTACATGCCTTTTAGAGGTATCATTTATTCATTCATACAAAGTACATTTATTAAACAGTTTTGTCAGTCTCTGCATTTAGCCATTCCCAAACAGTTTCCCTAAAATAGTTCACACTCTCTGGGTGTTTTCAATCCCGCCCACCCACACACCTTTGAAAATTCATGTGCAAACTCTGTAGCTGAGCCAATTCAGCCCTCTTGTTGCTCTGTTGCCACTGCTATTCTTCTCCATTACCAATCTATGCTCATTCTCCTTCCTTGTGACACCTACTGCTTTTGCCGTTCCCTTTTTGGATAGCCCTCTGCCCCAGATTCCCTTTGCCTGTCCCTTTCTCTGACCCAGCCTCTATGAATCTTCTCTTACTTTTGCAGCGTATGTTCCAGTAGAAATTCCTTGGATTGTCACCTGGGCATATACAGGCTTCATATTCATTAAAGGGAGAACAGTCCGCTTTTGTGCTGGTCAAAATATAGAACTTTATCTGGGAAGAAAGAGGTGGGGAGAATGTGTGACCATTGTGGTAACTAGGAAGGAAGAAGCGAGAAGAAGAATGAATGGATCTGAAAATAGGCAGGCTGGCAGCCCATGTAGGAAGGAAAGGGGGTGAACAGATATCCATAAAGGAGTCATATAAGTAGAAGAACTCCACTGGTACATATCAGAGATTGGATTTATCTTCAATGAAGCCTCTTTTCCTCCCTACTAGGCCCAAAATTTCCACTAGAATCAGACTCCTAGGGTTTAGGGGAAGGAAAGGGAGTAAACTGTTAGATAGCACCTACTATGTTCCAGACATAGTGCTAAGCACTTATCCAAAAATTATCTCATTTGATCCTCACAACAACCTTGAGAAATAGGTGCTTTTATGGTCCCTGTTTTTCAGTTCAAGAAACTGAGGCAATCAGAGATTAAATGACTTGTCCAGGGTCTCATAGCTAGTAAGTATCTGAAGCCAGATTTGAATTTGGGTCTTCCTGACTCTAGGCCCCGTGTTCTATCTGCTGGATGACCTAGCTGCCTTTGCATCCTCTCTCTGCCTCTAGATGGGAACTTTGATGGGAAGAGAGCTGGGTGAAAATTTCTTTTTTAATTCAATTTTTTTTAATTTACAAGGTACAAATTCTCCCCGCCCCCAACTCCTCTCCTACCCATTAAGAAGGCAGTAAATACAAACTCGTTACAAATATGAAGTCACGCAAGACAAATTTCTGCATTAGCCATATCTGGAAAAAATAAAAAGCAAGAGAAAGAAAGAGAAAAAAATATGATTCAGTCTGCTTTCTGAGTTTATCGGCTCTCTGTCTGGAGTTGAATAGTATTTCATGAGTCCTTCAGAACTGTGTTGGATCACCTTGTTGATTAGAATTACTGAGTCTTTCAAAGCTTGTTTAGATGAGAATTTAAAGGCCAAATCTCTCATTTTACATATAAGGAAAATGAGGACTGGAGAGGTTAAGTAACTTCCTAAAGTTTTTTTTTTCTCTGTCTCTTTCTCTCTCTCTAACACACAGACACACAGACACACATAGACACACACACACACACACACACACACACACACACACATCCACAGAGGTGCTAAGTATCAAAATCAGGCTTTGAAACTTCCATGTCCTCTGACGCCCAGTACAGTGCTCTTCACTCATTTGCATTGGACCCGAAGTTACTAGAAGTAACCTCTGGAAATCCACTGTTAAATGTTCATGTTATCTGAGGAGTCTTCTAAACTATCTTTTATTGGGGCAGCTAGGTGGCACAGTGGATAGAATACTGGGCCTGGAGTTAGGAAGACTCACCTTCCTAAATTAAAATCTGCCCTCAGATACTCATTAGCTTAGTGACCCTAGCCAAGTCACGTAACCCTGTTTGCCTCAGTTTCCTCATCTGTAAAATGAGCTGGAGAAGGAAATGGTAAACCACTCTAGTGTCTTTGTCAAGAAAATCCCAAATGGAGTCATGAAGAATCAGAAATGACTGCTGAGAAAAAAATCCTTGAGGTGAAAGAATACAGAAAAGAAGTAATTGTCAGTGAGAGATGGGTAGTATATGGTAGTAACACACAGTGCTGAAGTATCTTTCAAGATATCAAGGACAAGGGAAGTGTCTTACACAGGGGAAGGTGTCCATAGAAAATTTTGACCCAATTTAGTTTTTTCTGATACTACTTTAGGCATCAGTGTGTTTGGTTGTGGTTGTTGGTGTGTCCCTATGCCTAAGAAGGAAGAAAGAGAAAGGCTGGGGTGCTAGTATTGCTGGGTGGGATAAACATTTCTCTGAAAAGAAAGTCCTTCTACTCAAAAATAAATTTTGCATCCTCCTCCGTCGCAATTCATGTCCCTCCACCTTTCACATCATCTACTTCCACCTTCATGGTGTGACAAAGTGTGATGGCTTTCTCCTTAGGCTACTCTCGTCATCAGTGATCATGAGGCTCGCTCAGTCTCTCTGGCATGGATGTCTGGACTCTTCATTCCTATTCCTTTGACTTCTGAAATTTCCCTCTACCTTCTCTTTTTTCTCTCCCTACAAATCTTCATTCTTCCTTCCCATTCTCCTTTTTTCTCCCTTTCTTTCATTCTTCTTTCATCCCCCTCCTTGCAGTTGTATGAAGTTTGTCCCATACTCACCGGCATGCATTCTCTCAGTTGAGTTGAAACATTACACCTGATTTCACTCACTTCATCTGCTTTAGCTCTCTGTATTGGAGACATCTGCACAATAAGTGGCTTCCGGCTAGTAATGGAGAAATAAAGAAGCAGATCATCTCTCTGATAATCCTTATAACTTCTGATAGCCTATGGTCTCAGAAAACAGTCAAGAGCTAGATGATCTGTTGAATGGAGGAGGGAGAGGGTGAAAGTTCAAAGAATAAATAGAGTGATCTCAAGGGTATGAGTCCCTTTCATCTTTGGGACTCCCACTCTAGCACTCCTTAATCTCAGGCACTAGAAGGAAACTGAGTTCTAGACAGAAAGTCATGAAAATCTGTTGGACTGAGGTGATTATTCAGTTGCTGACCAGATAGCAAGTACCTTGGCCAAGAAGTAATTCCTTTCGTTTCTATATAGCCCCCAACCTGGGCCCACAGTATCTTGGGTAAGATGCAAAATAACTATGGTGCCCTAGAATTTTAGAAATGGATAGAATACCAGATCAGCTTCCCGTGCTCTCATTTTTACAGATGAGGCAATAGGAGCTCGGGATGGGGTGGGGGAGAGTATATCTTTTGCCTTCCATATCCCCTGAATATCCATTTTCCTGATACAAAACAACTTTAGAACCTGTGCATATGAAGGGTGGTTTCATTTTTCCTTGTGTCAGCTTAATGTTCTGGGAAAAGGGTCTTAAAATTAAATCTTTTGACAAACTTTTAAAATTTTTGAAAGCTTTGTGAACTCCCTGCAATGGGCAACTATACTAACTTGACCTCTAGAGTTAAAAATTGAGAAAAGAAGGGGCTTTCTTTCCTATACACTCAGCTGGACAACCCAATCCAGGTCACTGGCCTGAGGCATGTTTTTCATGCAGAAGAAAAATAATGTCAAAGTCCTTGGGTTCAGTCTCCCAACCTCCAATCTCCACCTACTTCTCTAAACTGGACAGAAAACTTCAGTTGAGCTTTGATGTGGGAGGTCACAAAACTACCTACTTCATTTTCCACAGTGATCTATAACAGAGCCTTCTCAGCCCAGAATTTTCTGACAATTGAGTCTACCTGATTGGTGAAGCTTATTAAAAAAACCCCAAAGACTCTGAAATGGTATTATTTGGTTCTCCTATATAAGGGAAAACCCAAAATACAACCTAAGAGTTCAAAATTCTTAGCTTTCAATCATGGCAGTGGGACAGTTTGAATCTTTACATTCTATCCTTCTTCCTCCCCCTCAGTAGGAGCTCCTATCTACCCCACCCCCACCCCTTACCTCTTAGTAGTTATTATCTCTCACTCTCATTCCATTCCACACTTATTTACTCCACCCTTCTCTCCTCATTTTGCCTCCCACAAACTCATCTTTGGTCCAGGGACATCTCATCAGAAACAAAGACCTGGTTCTTACTAGAGGCAGCTAGTTGTCACTGAGGATAGAATGCTGAAGGTGAAGTCAAACAGATTTGAATTCAAATCCAACCTCCGACACTGACTAGCCACGTGATCCTGAGCAAATCACTTAATATGTCTGCCTCAGGTTCTTCAACTGTAAAATGGGGATAATAATAATAGCACTTACCTCCGAAGTTGTTGTGAGGATTAAATGAGATAATATTTTTTAAAATATTTGGCACAGTGCCTATCTCATAGTAGATACTTCATACACAATTGTTTCCTTCCTTCCCAAGGAACTATACTTTCATGTTTTCTATAACCCTCCTCTATGGCTATACTGGCCAAAAGATAATTGCTGACTAAGGGTCAAGACTCCTTAGCCCTGAGTCCTGTTCCAATATCTAACCCTCTTCTTCAGCCCTACTCAATGCAGCCCTGAATCCTGAGGTGGATTCCTGAAATAAAAGAGTAGTGCTGTTAGGAGCTGATCCACTGTGGAAGCTGTCCTCAGGACAAGGACCTGAGATGGTTCCCAGGTCATTATGTATGAAAAAAACAGGGATTGTATGAGAGTGCCTTCTTTTTCTCCCAATTTCGGACTCTAGGTAAACTCAACCCAGAGTCAGTTTTAGTGAGTAAGGAGAACAATGAATTTCTCTTTCCATAGCCCTTCTGCCTCTCCTTTCCTAGAGACAAGAAAGGATTGGAGGAGACTTGAAGGGGTTCCAGGTAGGATGGAAATTAAGGCACAGGACAGGAATAAGAAGTCTTTGAGAATGAAGAGCAGGCCTGTAGCCAACTTCAGACTTTATCTAGGAAATCCTGTTTCTATGTGGGGCTTTGGGACCATCAGAGACTAGGCAAAGAATTTCTGAGGTTTGGCCAAAGATTCACTCATCTATGGGGAGAATAGTTCCCAGTGGGGATATATAGAATCTGGGTATTAGAAGATGGACACCCAGTGGATGAGATGAGTCCCCACAGGAGAGGATGTGAAGTCCCCAGGTTGGGAGGTGGGTTTTTCCTGGCAGATGAGGAAAAGGTATCTGTGTAAGGGGTGGCTTACTTATCGTAATCATCATCTTGCCCAGTGACTAGTTGTAGGCAGAGACTCAGGAACAAGGCAGTAATGCTGCATCTCACTAATGCTTGGAGAAGAGGCATCTTGTAGTGCAAAAAGGATGGCGTCCAAGCTGACTGGGGTCTGGAGCTCAGGACCACTACTTATAGTCGGAGGAGGAAGGTGGAGGAGAGGTTGGGAAGGATAAATAGCCAGTCAGCCTTGCCCATCTACCCTGACTCCTCCTGTTATGCTCTTGTTGCCATCAGGTTTGTTTTTCAGTAGAAAAAAAAAGTCAACATACACTACAGTTGGAATGGTACAATCCTGGGTAAGGATTAGCACTGTCCTTCCTTGTTTCTCAGTATCAGAGAGAGTCCTCAGGCTACAAGAGACCTTGAGAAACAGGACAGCTACTCACCTACTTCATATAAGCAGGGCTTTTCTCCTTTTGTCAATCATGGGAGAGTAGATGTGGAATAGTAGAAAAATCACTGGACTGGGAATTAAGAGATCTGGGTTTTGGTTCATACTCTGCCATTTACTAGTTGTGTGATCTTAAACTCTCTTGGCCTCAATTTCTTTAAAAATTTTGTAAAATGAGGAAGTTGGTTTATATAAATTCTAAGATTCCTTTCATTTCTGATATCTTACAATTTTTTACCCAGGGAGAGACTTTTCTGCCTTCTCCAGATGCTACATGTTAGAACATTTTCTCTTTGTTTGTTCCCATAGTGCGCTAATCTTTAGAGAGCTGTGTTATCATAACGCATACGATTCCTTTCCTATCCTGCTCTTGAGCTGAGGGGCTGCTTCCAGTGACCAGTGCCCACTCTCTTTTCCATGTGTTTTGAGCCTCTGTGTGGATACAATCTCTGCCTTTCCCCCCCTAGAACTTCCAATCCTAGGCAGTGCCAAGCTTGGAAGATAATTTGACCTTGACCATTGTCCGGGTGGAACTGCTCTAACTCCTACTGATCATAATGACTTTTAATATCTCATGTCTGTTTATTTTACCTACCCTCAAACTCTCACTCCAGTCTCCAAGAGGTGTGTTGTTTTCTAGTTCAGGGGATGCCAGGAGCTCAGAACTGTAGCCCGAGATTCTCTATTCAGAGGTCCGAGAAAGGGCACCAATACCTCGCTCTTTGGACTGACTTCTGTACTTTGGTGGATGCATTATCTCATTTACGTGTATACTCCTAAAGTCCAAAATTCATCCATATATTCTTATTCTATTCCAATGCTTGCCTTGCCATAAATATTATGTGCTTGTCTTGCCATGAGTTCTTTTTCGAGTGCTCACCCTCAATGCCTTTACTAAGGTTTTATGTAGCAGTGCAACCTTCATGCTATCCATTTGACATTCCTCATTCTCACTATCTGAGTGCATCATCTCCTTTTCTGATCATACACCATATCTTTTAGGCCACTTCATGTATATGTCATTAATAATAGACTGTAGCCTATTTATATTCATAATATATCTCTCTTGCCATTGCTGTCATCTACAACATATTGCTTGCTGATTGTGGTATCCCATGATTTATGGCCATGTAGCTTCACCCAAAGGCCATAATTATTAAAATGATCATTTTTGTTAGTTTTGGGTGGCAGCTTGGGACTATGGAAAGGGCTACATAGTTTACCAAATGGAACCTATCCTGCTGTCTTCATCTTATTCAATCTCTGGCTTAGCTAATTTTTCATCTGTGGTTTCCGTCTAAGATATGTGCATTGATAGAGCAACTCAATTGGTTATCCATCCAACTTTTTTTTAGCATTACTTATACAACAGATGTTTTCATCTATGTATTTTCTTCTCTATATATGAATTAGTGTGCCAAACTTTTTTGAGTCGAAGTACCTCATGTCTTTAATCTTGTTCTTCTCTGTGGGAGCTTCCCTCTTTGATTATTCCTACCCCATTCACCCTTCCAGTTTCATCTTCTAGATCTCTTTATTTACTGCCTCCTTCCTTGGTGCCTCCAAACATGTCCAAATCTTTCATATCCATAAACAATCTTCAATGAACCCTACCATTTTCCTCAAAGTATCAACCCTATATCTCTCCTTCTAGACACCTAAAAAAGTCATCTCTATTCATTTCCCCAACTTCCTTACCTCCTGCTCGATGCTTCAATCTTGCAATCTCATTTCCCATCGTCACCACTTGACTGAATCTTCTGTCTTTAATTTTAATAAAGATCTTTTAATTACAAAATCCAAAGAACTTTTCTCAGGCCACATCCTTCTTGACTTTTAAGCCACTTTTGTCAATGCTGACCACCTGCCTCTCATGGATATCCTCTCTTCCCCCTGCTTTCATTGCATGGCTTTCTTCTGGTTTTATTCCTTCTTCCTTCTTAATCTTTTCCTCTCCATCACCACATTGTAGCGTCTTGTCAGCTCACATTTGCGAAGTTATTATCCACTCTCAAATCTATATGTACAGAACCCATCTTTTTCTTGAACTACATTTAGATGTCCCATAGGCATTTCAAACTCCAGCTATACAAAACAGAATATTTTGTCTTCCTCTTCAAACTTTCGTCTTCTTCTTCTTCTTCTTCTTCTTCTTCTTCTTCTTCTTCTTCTTCTTCTTCTTCTTCTTCTTCTTCTTCTTTTCTTTCTTCAACTTATGCTTGTCCCTTCTCAATCTTTTTTTTACCTTCTAACATTTCTCTATCCAATCAGTTGATGTGTTGTTGATTTCACTCCCACAATGCCTCTTCCATCTGTTCCTTTCCGTCTGTAGTTTACTTTCATAGTCTAGACCCTCATCATTCTTGCCTAGCCTACTGAGAGAACTACCTAATTAGCTTCCCTGTTTCTAGTCTTTCCTTTCCTGCTTATATTCTACCTATTTGCCAAAATAATGTTCCTAATGTACAAATTCAGCCGTGCCATACCCCCTGTGCAAGAATCTTCAATGGTTTCCTATTGTCTCTAAAATGCAAATGATGTAATTTCAAGTTCTTTAGAATTTGCACGCTTTTTTTTTTACCTTTTCAGACTTATTTCAAATTATTCATCTTTAAACACTGTTATATCCAAACTAGCTTTCTTGCTGTTCCTAGTAAATGAAATTCCACCTTCCATCTGTCTTTGCTTAGGCTGTGCCCCCTTCCCTGGAATTCTCTCTCTCCTTGACTTGGTCTCTAAGAATACTTAGCTTTCTTCAGTCAGTCAGTCAGCTAATCAGAGAACATTTCTTAAGTATCTGCCATGTATCTGGCACTGTATTAAGCACTGGGGGTCCAAAATGAAGCCAAAGACAGTCTCTACCCTTAAGGCACTCACAATGTAAAGGAGGAGGCAACAAGCAAACGAATATGTGCAAACACATATATGCAGGATAAATAGGAAATAGTTAAGAGATGAGAGGCACTAGAATTAAAAGAGGAGTTGTAAAGGAACTGCCAAGGAAGATGAGACCTTAGTTGATAACGTCAGGGCTGAGCTCATATGCTGCCTTCTACAAGAAGCCTTCCCTGATCTCCTTTGCTGTGAGTATTCTTCCCTCCTCATATTATCATGCTTTATTTAGCTAGTCAGCTATTTTATCTCCTAGAATTATGTAAGCTTCTTGAGGAAAGGAACTCTTTTTCATTATTGTCTTCATATCTCAGGCTCCTATCACAGTATCTTGCACACAGAAGAAATGCTTGCTGAAACTGAATTGAATTCATAAAATTTCCCTCATGTAATGAATGTCTGCCAGCCTGTGTCTTATGGGCATCTTTGGATTGACCAAATAGTTGTACCCACTCCTCAACTACAGATGTAGAGTAGGTAGGTAGATCAAGAATTGGAAAGTTGTGAAGATGAACTTTGATGCTGTGGTAGAGGGCATTCTATCACATTCAAATGTTTGATTGCATCTATTTTCCATTCTATTTCACAAACAGCTGTGAAGTTACTGTGTGAAACACGTGGTAGTCGGGGTAGGGTGTAAGGGTAGATAAAACGGAGGTCCTGCTATCAAGAAGCTTACATCATTACCTGTCGAAACCTCTCCTTTCAAAACTTAACCCAAATTTCTTTTCTCTCCAAGTAACCTTTCTTGATTCTCCCTCATCATGCCCACATTGAACTATTAAGTTATCTCCTCTTCCTTATACCATGCCAGAGAAGTACCATGGGAATCTTCCCTTGGCCTTGAGATAGCCCAGCAATTCTGTTTGAGCAGATAAACAGTGCAGTTGGAATAGCACCTCTGTTCCTACTTTCAATACTTATTGTCCCTAACCTATTCTAAATTTACGTCATCTCATACATGGATTAATATACTGTATTACTAAGAGGTAGCCTTGACTCTAGCCTCTCTGTACTCTGATTCAGATTGTCCTTCCAAAAATGGGGTTTTCATCATGTCACTGCTATGTTAAATAATCTTCAATGGCTCATTGTTGCCTTCAGAATAATGTTTGCACACTGGCTCCAAATTTAGATCTAATCTTCCAAGTCAACTATTTCCTACTTCTGCTCAATTTGAGTCCTTCTTTCTAGCTAAGCCGTTCTTTCTTTCCCATGAGCATGCACACCTATTCCTGCCTCCATGTTTTACTCATACACTTCTTCTTTCTTATAATGCTCTTTTCTCCATTTGTCCATATCCTACTCAACCTTTAAGGCTCAACTTAGTCATTTTCTCTTCCTCAAGGCCTTTCCAAAGTACTTTTTCTCTGAACTTCTATAGTATTATCATTTTGGAAAGTTACATATAAATTTACTTTAAAAAGAATAAAAAATAATTTATTTGAATACATAAGGCATTTCCTATAAGCTTTTTTATTGCAGGTACCACATCTTGTATTGAGTTATTGACTCTATCCTCTGAATGCCTCTTTCCTTAATGTGGATCAGAATATAAGCTTTGGAGCATGTCCAGATTGCCTAACATGGAGGACTGTATTACCAACTTTGCAGATGGGAGCAGCTTCCTTTGGCTACTGTGTCTTTAAAAATGGAGACACTGAGCCTATGACCTACTTTTATCTGCGGTGTCCAAAGGGTGAAGATCTCAGTTCATTCACAGCAAAGACATCATGAACTGAACTGGTGAAAGGAGAAGCACTTTCCTTCCCCTACTAACTTCATGTTTCAGTAAACCAATATGTAAACAACATTACCTGGGTAATTGGATGTGCCCCAAAGGCCCCTCAATGGCTTCCCCATGTT